CACCACCACCACCACCACCATCACCATCACCACCACCATCACTACCACCACCACCACCACCACCACCATCACCACCATTCTCATGGCGATCAGCATCTTCACCCTCCTCACCACCACACCTGGTGCCCCAGGTAGACAGTGTGAGCCCCACTATTGGAGCAAAAGCGATGGAGGTGGGAATGGTAAGAGGGAGAGAGAAGGCGCTGGAGGAGGAAGAGCCTAAAGCATCCAGGGGTCTAGCACGCAGTACGCGGGAGGTGAGCAACCTGTGGCTTCATTTTACAGATGGAGAAACTGAGGCCGGGGGCAGGAAAGGCCCCGTCCAGGGCCACACGCTGGGTCCGTGATGGAGGCGGGCCCTGGGGCTTCCTCTACTCAGTCCTGCTGCTTCCACTCTCCAGGGAGGGTCCCAGAGGTCCTTGGCCACGAGGGGCTGCGGTGGGATCCTTAGGCCTCCCCCTGGGCTGCCTCCATCGCCCAACCCGGGTCCCCCAAGTTCACCAGCCTCGCCCTTGACTGTGTCCCCTGCCCCTGTCCCTGCCCCTGCCCCCCCTCCGGGCTGCCCCCTGCTGTAGCCGTGTTGGAGGAGCACCGGGCCACCCTGGGGTCTCGCAGGCGGCTCACCTTGGACCTGCGTCTGGTAGACGACGAAGTAGCCGGGGCTGCCGCAGCTCTCCAGCTCCTCGGCGCTGCACTTCTGTGCGCACAGGCGCTCGTCCTCCCGCTCGTGCAGCGGGAAGCGCGTGGTGGGGAAGCCGCAGTGGCACGCGGTGCCGGCCAGCGCCGCCAGCGGGTACTCCTGGGGACAGCGGGGGAGAGCAAGCTCCAGGGTCGCCCCGCCACCTCGCCCTGCCTGGGGGCCTCGGATTTGACTCGGTTCCTTTCATCAACTCAATATTTGAAACTTAAATTCTAAAGGGAGCTGTCCCTCCTGCAGGGAGCCCTGGGAGAGGTCCCCTGTGTCCAAGCTGGAAACCCAAACAGCAAATCCTGCAAAACGATGAGGCCAGCCGGACTCCGCGCCCCTCGTCCCATCCGCAGGTCCAACCAACTGGGCATCGAAACTATGTGGGGAGAATTTGCACCTGTGTTGATAAGGGGCACACGTGTTCTTTTTTCTTTGTTGTTATTCCCTGAACGATGGAGTTAAAAATTAAGTACCTAGCCTTGGCCTTGTGTCAGGATGGTGAATCCTGCAGAAATGAGGGGGAGTTTTTGGTGCTAAGGATTGAACCCAGGGGAGCTTATCACTGAGCCACATCCCCAGCCCTTTTTTATTTTCTGTCTTGAGACAGGGTCCTGCTTTGATCCTCATTAAGTTGCTGAGGCTGGCCTCCAACTTGCAATCCTCCTGCCTCAGCCTCCCCAGCTGCTAGGATTACAGGTGTGCACACTGCGCCTGGCTGGGAATGAGGTAAAGCTTGTGGGGAGACAGGCGATATTCTGCAGATATTCCACCTTTTCACCTAAGGAACTCCAGCCTCGAGGACATGGGTTTCTGCGGGGCCTCTTGGAGCCCATGTCCTGGGGATACTGAGGAAGGATTGTAATTAAATGCCACTCAGGCGCTGTCGCCTGCCAAGACTCCAACCTGGGGTCAGCTGCATTCTTTCTGCAGAAGAGGGATTAGTTGAGGGA